AACAACAATGTTTTTATTTATATGCGGTGAAACTTCAGTATATTATAATATTTGATATGAAGATTAATTTTTACTTAGTAAAATTTTTAGTTCTTGTCATGTCACTTTATTCAATTATTTGCAATGATCTGCAGGTGTCCCTATACTTTTGATCAGGAAGTGTCACTCATATACAGGGCATGCTGCAACAAAACCAGACAAAGTGAACATTGGTATTACCAAGGAATTCAGGGATCACATGAAAATTATATATTTGGTGTCAAATGTTGTGTATGTAGTATGGTGCAAGTCACTTAGTCACTGAACTTTTTGTGCCATGATGCCAATTTTGAGAAAAAATATTCCAACCAAAAATGCAATAAAAAATTTATTGCCACATAATTTTGAAGATTGTCAAGTGCTTAAGGTTCTGAACAAATTGAATTGAGTTGAATTTTGGAGTGATTTGATTCAATTCGAATTTTTCAAATCAAATCAAATCATGATTCAAATTCAAAAAAACTGTATTCAATTTGATTCAATTTGTTCTAAATGCAATTTGATTTGATTCGAAATCAATTCAAACTTCTAAAAAATTTTTTTTTAATATATTGTATCATTTGATATTATAACAAGATCTTAACTGATTATATGTGCAGTGAGTTATATATAGAATATCATATGTACATCAAATGTGGGCAAATTTTAATTTTTTACATAAAGAATTTTTTTTTAATTAAATGAACTTTAATTATGGTGGAAAGTAAGTTATTTTTTATTATTTAACAATAAAACAAATGATTACATTGATGAAATTATGTGACTGGTTTTTTGTAGCTGCATGAGCTTAATATCCTCATCTGGCCAAAATGGCGAGAGATTACCTTGCTATTCCTGCATCTAGTGTTCCGGTGGAAAGAATCTTCTCTGGCAGTGTTGATTTAATCACATCAACTAGATGTAAATTGTCTGCAAATACAATTAGATACTGTATGTGTCTTAAATCATGGTGGAAAGGTGTTTTAAAAGATGTATAATATAATAGGAATTTGTTAAATAAAAATTAATAATTTTATATTCGGGGGGGGGGGGGGGGAAATTTTTTTCATTGGATCAACAAGTTCAAATCAGGTTCAATTTAAATCAAATCAAATCAAAGAACAATTTGTATTTGATTCACATTTGATTTGAATGAAATGAATCAAAAATTAGGTGGATTCGATTTGAATCAGTTTGAACTTCACTGATTCATTCAGAACCTTACAAGTGCTGGCTATTCAATTAGTATTTGTATTCATGATATTCAAATATCAGTCACATGAATGATATTTGGATAATGTCCAAATAATTCTAAATGAATACAAACACTATACTCAATAAATGTATGAAATAGTTTGTTTTATTAAAAATAACATCATTGATCATGAATGCAAAATAGGACATTAGGATGTTTGCATCCAGTGCTAATTTTGAGAATATGTATATGACACCAAATTATTATCACGTGACAAAAGATCGGCCATTAAAAATTTCAAAAATTCAATTTTAATATATATAACAATTTCGTGTAACATGTCACTTTGGGAGATTAACATAGTAAATTCATGAAACTTTGAGAACTTTGATGCATCATTCCTCTATGGTAATGTGACATATCAATGAAATGAAATCATTAAATTGTAGAGAAAGGTCTTAGCTTTAATTCTATGATTTGTTTTTTTGGTCATTCCATTTTTGGAGGAGTTAAAAAATCTACACATCTGATAAAAAGTTCAGTGACTAAATGACTTGCACTATATGACCAAAAGTATTATTTCAAATGATAATTGATGGTTATCAAGCCAAACTATTATTACTATTACTACTAATAGTATCAATGTTTATTTTATTATTTCTAAATCAATTGTGATTTTTTTTTATAATATATTTCTAATTATTAATATTTTAACTTTAAAAAAAAAGCAATGACAAAAATTTTTTTTTATTCTAAAGAAAATATATTTATAAAAATATGCATTCAGTTAATTATTTATGCTGCCATATAATTTTATCATCTTACAAACAATTATTCCAGTAATGTTCATATATCATTAGACAATTTACACCTTCCCAGTTATACATGCAGCTCAAAGTATTTTGACACTGTCATAAAGGGGGGTTACACTTATGTTTTTAATAGTGAGTGCCATAATTATTTCTACTTTCTACCATCAAAATTGGAATAATTTTGACCACTGAAATCACCAAACCAATTTGGGCTGCATGTATATTCCCAGTAATGAATGAATATGTCAATATTCTTTATTTTTTTTTTGCTCTTTGTGGTGTTGGCATTTTATGATTAGTGCTTTTTGAAAGTGTTGAGGAAACATCTATATCAATATTTATTTTATTATACCAAAGATTTCTAATCATGCCCTAAATCAAAATGATAAATAATTAATTAATAGCAAATAATGTGAGACCTCTAGATTTCATAAATTAACACTACAAATAAACTTACTTTTAGATTCCATGCCCACAAAAGTACTGATCTAAGTTGTCTATATGGTGAAAATTGGGTTGGCAGTTCTAACCTTTTTAAAAGGTGCAACCTATACACCACCTGCATTTCCATTAAATAAATTCTAATTTCATTTGTATACACCTAAATTGAAATAGAATTAGCTTTAAAAACTCATATTCTAGTGTATATAAATTTTGTTCTGAATCAAATTTATTTATCATATAACTCAACATGTCTTTTAAACCTCATATTAGATCAAATTCATCATTTGACAACTTGGTTAAATCAGTGTAAGATGTATTTCCACACACATGACCACAAAAGACTTCATAAGTACCAGCAATACATAAAATATCCATCTGATGGCCACGTTTTACTTGTTGTTCCATAACATTAACTGGTAAATTCTTTCATTCTTGGCTGGTTTTGGAAGTTACTTCTCCACTAAAAATATTCCATAAAATTTAATCACTATACTCATTTTGAATATAGAAATTCTATTCAATAAGTACATACCATGGTACTCTGCAAAATCGATTTAATGTAAAAGCACCTTT